TGCATGGGGATGTACAGAAGACCGATTCCTGAATAATTCGGAGGACAACATCCCAACATGTACACGCTAGATGCCCGTTATGATTGGAAGCCATCGTCAGCCGACCACGTTCGCATAGGCTTCATTAATCAATGAGTGTACAGTCCGACGATCAAATGGATAGAGGATGGATCGTTCAGCCTAACGAATATTGGCCCGGTATCCAAATTTGAATTTGAACTTACTTCGAGAGCGAACCCCCTTCTTCTCCAATCTACCAAAATGCGGATTGTCCATGACATACTTGATATTTTCTCTCAGTTTCCGCTTTCGCTCTTCCTCCATCTCTCCTGAATGACTGCAAAAAGCTTACATGGCTTATAGGAGTTATTTTGTCGACATCACGAAAACATTATCATTTAGCTGAATCAATGCTCGTAGTGCTTTTGACAACTTAATGGGCGTCATACACAAATGGTTGCTAAAATCTGACCGTAGGTCCGACCATTGCCAGTGGGTTTTCCTTCAGACCTCACTCGCCTTGATTTGACCGGGGCATGATATGCAGCAAAACAAATATCTAGGGTGTGCCTGATAGCAGATAAACCTCTCCACCGATTTGGCAAATACGTTCAACATTATTGACATCAAAGCTACTGGATCACGATACTTGAACCATAGGTTGCCATTAGCTGTGCACTCTGTTCTGCGAAACCCTTTGCTTACAATTTGATTTGGCTTGACGGATAGCGTTGGTTGCACAAATGTACTCAGATACATGAAAAGGGAGGATTCTGATGGCTTAATATACTTAGGGATATGACAACAGGCATTCACTACGTGGGATTGTAAATCGTGGATAACTACATATGTAACGGTGAATAGTATTGATGAGACATGCGAGTAGTACGTCTTCTTGTATACCTGCCCTTGCAGCGGAGTTTGACACACCAGCCGACCCTCAGCAGGCCATGAGTTCGATCAAGACGCACAAGGCGGGACCTAGATGAGACCCGACCGTGATCTTGGCCAGTCTGTAGCTGGCATTGGATGGCGCTTTGCTGGAACTCAACGGAGTGTTGCGCCACCAGTTGCTGTGTGATCACTCCGTCGAAGATGGGCAGCCATCGCCTCATGCTCAGTTACGATTGGCAAGAGCGACTGGTCAGCTGAGTGTGAAGGAGCTTGTGTATCTGGCACGGGGCACCACTGGCCACGTTGCGGCCACGGGAGAACGGGAATGACACATCAGTGAAGTAACCGCAGACCAGAGTGTACGAACGAGCGGAACAGATTACAGCCATCAAGACAGAATCGAGGAGGCACGCTCGAACAGGCTGCTGCTAGTGTGTGCCTGGACATGCGACGGATATAATTTGGATTTTCTTTCGCAAAGATATCTGTAACGGTCTTGTCCTCCCGTCCGATAGAATCACCCTTCTATTTGATTTTTATGATACGACCCTCCAAGCTTTAGGCTTCAATTCTTGGACGTTCACAATACCTGGAAGATGATTTTGTGTGCTACGCCCCCACCCCTGCTTGTCTCACTGATCAGTCATCTTCGAGAAAGATGCTACAATCCTGTCGCATACGAAACTTTGACTGGCGCTTTTAGGTGCTCCCCACATGAAAGGGGTGAGTTTTCAACCTCCATATCAGGTCTGTCCGCTGGCATTTTTAGCATGATCCGGTGCAAATGTTCGTCTAAATGTGCTGATTTGACAGTTCCTGGTGGGTGGTCGTGTTATCTTATCCACGCAGCGAGTTACTGGCCCACAGGCTGTCTACTGTGGCGTATGAGTCATCTTTGGAGATGGAAGCTACCAACCAACTGAGTCTGGATTAGCTTCACCAGGGTGTGGCTTTGTTGAAACAAATAACAAAAACGGAACGTTGTAAATTTCTGACGAGCCAATTTACTGGACATAAAGTGTTTTTTGGACGAGAATCTTCGATCATATAGTCAGATTGCACTCGCCATTCTGGTCGGCAATAATCTGAGTCATAAAGATCGGTACCAGGTCGTGATCTGTTGAGGTTTGTGCTTTATGTGAGAAAAGACGCATGTTCATCGTAGATGGGAGGACGGTTTTCGGTCAGATGTGAGCAGGCTTGAAGCTAGCGTAAACGGGTCACATTTGGATGTGGTTCCATGTAAGCACGCTTTTCCTCACCCAATCAGTCCCTAGCACTGTTCTCCTTAGTACACGCAGATTTGGTAGGCTGCGTTCAGTATCCCAATTCCGCATGAATCAGCATCCTGATTGGTACTAAAATACGACGAAGAATTTATCTAACGCGTGATAAGGGAGGCGTGGAATATCTTTGACGAATTGCACAAGAAGCCCCAATTCGAGCATCTTCGGACAGCAGAGGGCCTGGTATTTGTTCAACCGTCAGAGCAAATACGCTAACTATGAATGGGATCCTCGTTTTTGGCTAGTGTGAGCGGTCCTAATACTGTAGCCATTGCGTATCATTTATCCGTGACCTGTTGTTTTCGGTTTACATCCGCTTGTGGAGATATTATTCACCTGACAAGCATAGTGGGTTAAGCCCATCGAGACACTTAATGTGCCCCATCTGGCTTGGGCGGTAAACCAATATCGTTTCACTCTGAGCATTTCAGGGTATTTCAAGCTTTCTTCATTACTACGTTTTTNCGCGGAGTTGTCCGAGCACTTCGCGCATCCTTGCTCCGCTCACATCCTTGGGATAAGGAAATTATGAAGCCTGGTTTTGGTCTCGTAGCACTCACATGAACTGCAGTTGAATGACCGGTGAACCGCCTGATAGTCACATTTAGGGTAGGGTCAGTGAAGGTGAATTCGCCAAAACCGAAGTAGCACCGAGTTTAATACAACTTGTAGTGGCCAGGCCGCCGAACAGGTTCGGAATTCAAATAACAAGGAGCGGTTGATTCGGCTGCTCTAGCTTGTGGCAAATTTAATTTCAGTTTCATGACAAGCAGCATAAGTATCGTGTGGACCTACGCTTTCACATCTCATCACAATTGATTTCTGGGTAGCACGTCCAGCATGACGATGTTTTCTTCTAACCGGTTATCTTCATTCAGATCTTTTATGCTTTCACCTTAATCGTGTCTTATTTTTTTGGTGAGGTCAGCGCATTTTCACCGTTGTTCAATAAAGTAATTAGTCTGCTTACCCAAAGCCATACAAGCAAACTGCAGTCCGGCTTTCAAGAAGCCTGAAATGTACTCTGTAACCAACATAAAATGATTCACCAAAGGAACTGGCACATCACTGGCTGAATCATCTGGACAGTTTCGCTCAAACACGAGCAATAGGTAGTCACAGTTCTTCCTTGCGGAGCGAAGTAATTCTACCAGTTCGACTAATGAGGAAATCCTTACATGTGCGATCATCGGCGTCCCGATGTAGATTAACTACTACTTTATATACTTAGACGTCTGCGTTCTTCTGAATCTTGTTCCCCTAACTCAACCTTTCTCTGGCTAAGGGATTTCGATGGCATTCCTTTTGAGAGAGGCTCGGGCAAATCTTGCTAACATCCGTTCAATAATAATTTACTCGTCAACTTTTTGCGCGATTGACACGGTTTATTGTACTTCATATCTCTGTGGTGACACAATGATGACCCTACTTTGGAAGTGGTTGTAGTGTGTCAGAATACGTCAGATGCGTTCGCTGAATGAAGTCGCCTAGTGGTCTGTCAAGCTCACTCCGTGGGCCGGTTCTGCGGTTGGTGCACGCCATCATGTGAGGACAAAGCCGTTCCTGATTGGCCTTAAAGAATTCGTCCAATCGTGACGTTAGATGAGATGGTGCTGATTGTTCAAAAACGCAAAGAGTACATGTTCATACAGTTAGCAAGTGTTTAACGAAGAATCATGGTAAGATACTCGACTATTCTCCTATTGGGCTTCGGATGTAAGTTGAGTTTGCAAGGTGATGCGAAGTGGCATGGAAATCGTTGGCTTTATTTGACCCCCACTAAATGAAGAACATAAATGTCATTCAACGAAATTAATAAAAAACTTGTGCGTTTCTTTTCTCGCTATCTTTGCACTCAGTTATCAATTGGCTTAGAAGCGATACAAAATGCTTGCATTGATTCTGTTTCAGTACTTCTGTTGCCAGCGGACGTGGAGTGGCAGAGCCAAAATACCGGTAAGTTGAAAGCCCATTTAAAATAATTAACGGTGAATCATCCGAATGATTTTAAACTTAACTGCCAACTGCTAATCGGCCACGTAGATCATGACACTACTGGAATTTATAACGACAACCTTCAAACTGCAAGCGTGTTGACGCTGGTTCAGTCTAAATGACAGGTTCCACTCAATCCATTTGAGTGTAACAGCGAAACGGAAGCGGTTTAGTGAGGGGTTGAAGAATTTTGCTTTTATCTAGCAAACTAAGTAGGTCCGGTCCTCAAGTCCAAAGCAAGCGAATTTCCAGAAATAAAAACCCACCTGTTCCTATATCAAGCATAACTTATTTCTCTGTCTCGCAATCACACCTTTGTCACGAGATATCCTCTCAAATGACGGTACACTGATTCCGTTAAGTTTGTGTTGCGGATTTTATTTTGCTCTCCAATCTGCTGCGAATGCCGGAAAAAAGCCACGAAGCAATTCGAACCACCAGTTCAGCGCAATTTATGCACTTCATGCATATGACATGATGAGTGTTGACGAAGGTTGCTCATTATTGTTTACGTTAACTGACTGAGAGTTGTTATGCATGCTGCATTCATTCACGGGTATTCCATTAAAAAACAATCCCGTATACTCAATTCCGAGTTGTTGTTTGAATCTGCTGTTATTCGGCAATGAGATGCTCGCAAGAAGTGATAATGCACACCAAAAGTCACACTCTGGCCACCTAGTTCATAGCTTATAAGCCGGTGTGGCCAGGTAACATTTTTTCTCAGCAGAGGGCCCATGGTCAGACTTTTGAGTGCTGAGCTGTCCAATCATACGTTTCAAGAATTAACTGTGAACACCAAGTTTTCA